GCCCAAACGGACTCTATGTTTGCCTCACTAACTTTTATTAGGCTAGATTTTATGCTGTCCTTCACATACAAGGCCACCCCTCCCCCTTTCTTGCCTTCCCTATCTTTCCTATATAAAGAGTACCCTGGTATTGCTATGTCCCAGTCATTTTTCTCATTGTACCATGTCTCAGTAACAGCGACTAAATCTACACTATCAGTTGCCATTATTGCCACAAGTTCATGGATCTTATTCCCTAAACTGCGAGCATTTGTAGACATGACTCTAAGCTTATCATTTTTTAACACACTTGCTACAGGCACCTTCTGTCCTTCTTTTGGGGGACAATTGGATTGATGTTTTATCACCCTTTTGCCCCCCCCCTCCTAGTTTAAATACATCCTAGCAAAACCTCTGAACTGCTCACTGAGAACATTTGTTCCCTTTTGAGAAAGATGCAAACCATCTTTTTTGTACAGCTTATCTCCATTCCAAACAGAGCTACCATGAGAAATAAAGCCAAATCCTTGCTCCCGACACCATTCACCAAGCCACAAATTAAAGTCCCTAATACGCATCCGCCTGTCGTTCTGAGTGTTATGCACAGGCAGAACTTCAGAGAATGACAGTGTGGAAGCAACCTGCCGTATATCATTGGCAAAAACACTAAAAACTTCCTTAACCTCTGAAACCTCATTGCAAGCCAAGTCATTTGTCCCTAGATGGACAAGTACATCCAATTCCCCTTCCTGCTTTGCTTGCTTAACAATATTACAGATACGTCTCCTGTCTCTGTGAGCAGTAGCTCCGGGAAGACACCTCACAAGACTACCATTGTCCATCTCCACACCTCTTATAATGGAATCCCCCAACAACAACTGCTTTCTATTAGGCCTCACCATAGTCTCCAAGCCGGTCTCCACAACACCACTAGCCTCAGTGCCTCTCTTCTCTCTCTCCACAAATAATTACTAGCTCTCAGTGTGCTCTCTTCTCTACAAATAATTACTAGCCTCAGTGCTCTCTCCACAAATACCATTACACTCTGAAAGTGCAGGTGAAAATGAATTATGAAGAGCAACAGACTGTGCAAAATGCCCTTTATCCACAACTCTAAGTCTACCAGATCCTACAGTAATCCATCTGCCTTTCCTAGCATGTCTCTGCGGCAGTGGCTTTGCAGCAGTTCCAGTCTGAGTTTCTTCACCAGATAATTTACAAATCTCAGACTTCAAAAAATACAATCTCCTGCCGCAAGATAGAGAACTGTCTACAGATTAGACAACAACCAAACCTCCAAAAAGTGGAACGTGAAACAAATGCATAGCAATTGTTACACTGAACTAAGCCTGCCATTCCAATTATGAGAATAATTTAAATCTAACAAATCTTAACTTTTTTTTTTTTTTTTTTTATCCTCCTGAATACTAGATCAGTGGCGTATATGGGCCAGGGTCGCGGGCAAGCAATGTGGCCCGCCTACTAGCCCGCCTCTCAAGTAATTCGGGTATGGGCCGCTTCAGGCCAGCCTCTTCCCTGGGGCCCAGGAGCCGTACTACCCCAGGCCCTTGAGCTGGGGTTCTAATCTGGTGCCGGGTGGCGCGTTTCAGTGCTTCCTTTCAACTCTCGCTGCGACCGGCATACCGGAGCCGCGGTGCACACGCCATCTTCCTCGCTCCTCGCATCCCTACGCGCCGGGCGTAGGGAGCGAAGAGAAGCACTGAGTGTTCTCAAGGCCGCTTGCCCCATCGCCACTGCCCCAGAGCCTAGCAGCCAGCAGCACCACTGGACCCAGGGAATCCCCCCAGCACTCCAAAAGGTAAGGAGGCTGGGGGGATTACATTTAAAAAAATAAAAAATAAAATCATGTGTGAGTGTTAGTGTGAGTGTTAGAGTGAGTGTTAGTGTGTGTGAGTGTTAGAGTGAGTGTTAGTGTGTTAGAGTGTGTGTTAGTGTGTCTGCTAGTGAGTGTTTGTGTGTTAGTGTGTGTGTCTGCTAGTGAGTGTCAGTGAGTGTTACTGTGTGTGTCTTACTGAGTGTGTGTTTGTCAATGAGAGTGTATGTTTTGTAAGTGAGTGTGTATGTATGAAAGTCTGTCGCTGACTGTGTCTCTGTCAGTAAATGCGTGTGTCTGTTAGCTGGTGTGTATGCGTCTGTAAGTGTGTGTGTGTGTGTGTGTCTTCAGCACTTACCTTTCTCCAGCGCCGGACTCCCTTGGCGCTGAGGATCCCTTAGCCTCTCAGCTCCGAATGCGACCGCGCACGCATTCAAACCGCCCATAGGAAAGCATTACTCAATGCTTTCCTATGGACGTTCAGTGTGCTCCTCTAGCGGCTGTCAGTGAGACAGCCACTAGAGGCTGGATTAACCCTCAGTGAAACATAGCAGTTTCTCTGAAACTGCTATGTTTTCAGCTGCAGGGTTAAAACTAGAGGGACCTGACACCCAGACAACTTCATTGAGCTGATGTGATCTGGGTGTCTGTAGTGGTCCAAAGGACCACTATAGTGCCAGGAAAACATACTCGTTTTCCTGGCACTATAGTGCCCTGAGGGTGCCCCCACCCTCAGGGCACTATACGGGGGGGGCACGGATCAATTTTCGCACCGGGGCCCCATGGGTCATGTGTACGCCACTGCCTCAGATTACCTCCAGGTTATCTCCAGAATATCTCCAACTACACACTTAGAAACAGCACTCTCCAGAATATCTCCAACTACACACTTAGAAACAGCACTCTCCAGAATATCTCCAACTACACACTTAGAAACAGCACTTAGAAGTAGCACCAAGCTATATTAGACAAGCTAATGACACCAAGCCTTATATAACTCCTTAAATCATCGCCCACTAGGAATGTTTAACACCTGGGTAGGCCTCTGCTTATTTGCAAACAATAGCTAATTAACCAGCAATCAACAGCAAGTAACTAGCTTAATCAAATCAAATGCCTTATAATTACCAACAGGAATTCAAACCTTGGGCAATCAGTAACCTTTTCCTACAGATGAATCTTACCTGTAAGGTTAATAAGTCGGGTATGGGGAGAATATATGCGTCCTCGTGCGCCGGGCTTCATATGGCTGACACTTCCTCTGGTCTCTGTAAGTATTCCTTCAACATGTTCACGTGAAATATGTTTCTTAAGTTTTCATCGTGACAGCTGGCAATTACATAAGTGGTGTCCCCTCTCTTCTCCACTATCTGGTAGGGACCCTGCCGGCTGCTTGTAGCTTGTCTGCCTTAACTGGTTTTAGTACCATGACTTTCTGCCCGAGACAGAAGCTTCTCCGCCGTGCCCCCCGGTCGTACCAGACTTTCTGTCGCCCCTGGGCCGCCTGGAGGTTGGCCTGGACTGACTTAGCCAATTGCTCCATTCGGTCCCGGAGCTCCAGTACGTAAGGCACGATGGGGACCCCGGCGTTCTCGGTCTCTCCCTCCCAGTGCTCACGGATCAGGTTCAAGGGGCCCCGTACCTTGCGCCCGTATAACAGCTCAAAGGGAGAGAACCTGGTGGTTTCCTGGGGCACCTCCCGGTAAGCAAACAGGAGGTGCGGCAGAAAACGTTCCCAGTCCCTATACTCCTGAGTGAAGGTTTTTAACATCTGCTTGAGGGTTCTGTTGAACCGCTCACATAACCCATTGGTCTGGGGGTGGTACGGGGAGCTAAGAAGGGATTTTATTTTGCAAACGTGCCATAGCTGCTGAGTCAGTTCTGCCGTGAACTGCGATCCTCTGTCGGATAGGATCTCCCTAGGGAATCCTACCCGAGAAAATACCTGCACTAATGCATTAGCCACCGTGTCTGCCTGGATATTAGATAAAGCCACAGCTTCTGGGTAGCGGGTAGCATAGTCCACTATGGTAAGAATGTATCTCTTACCAGAGGGACTAGGGGTGGCTAGTGGCCCAACTAAGTCGATGGCTACCCGGCTAAATGGTTTGTCGATGATGGGCATGTTAACGAGGGGTGCCTTGGGGTGGTCTCCTCGCTTGCCTACCCGTTGGCAGACCTCGCACGTATTACAATAGGACCTCACATCTGCATGTACCCCTGGCCAGAACAAGGTATGGGTAATACGGTGCAGGGTGCGGGTTACTGCCAAGTGCCCGGCTAAGGGAATATCATGACCCACCCGGAGGATATCCCGCCTATACTTGTGGGGTATCACTAACTGTCTCCTCCGGTGGCCCTTCTTTTCTGTGTGTCGGTACAGTCGGCCCTGTTCCCATGCAAAAGTCTTATATCAAACCACACTGACTGATGATCACTGGATCCTAAACTTTCACCTACAGTAACATCTGATACCAAATCTCCATTTGTTAACACTAAATCTAGTATGGCCTCTTTACGAGATTTAAAAGTCCCTGTATCAGCCCTTTCCCTATATTTTTGGAGCGTCGGATCAGTTTTGGTCTCAGCCTCAAAGGCTGCAGGGGTGTCCCAGGGTAAAGGGGCAGGAGGGGTGGTCACAGTCGGGTTAAGTCTTACCTGAGCCTCCCGCACTGGTGAAGGGTCTTGCACTCGTCCTGCTTGTGACCGGGTCGTCACGGGATGTGCCTCAGCGTTGTAAGAAGGAGCATAAGCTGAGGTCATAGGTCAGGTCGTTTCCCAGCAAAACTTTGGCTGGCAAATTATCCATAATCCCCACCCTCACAAGTCCTTTCCCCGCACCCCAATCCAAATGTACCTTTGCTGTGGGTAGTTTGTAAATGTCCCCTCCAGTCACCCGGACAGCTACTGTGTCAGGAGAGCGCTTGTGCTCTGGGACTAACTGGCTTTGTACCAAGGTGATCGTGGCTCCGGTGTCTTTTAACCCCTGTGTGGGACGACCCTCCAGCAGTACCTCTTGCTGGTGGTGTTGCTATTCTCGCTGGCGGCATACACAGGGTTAGCTTCGTGCAGGCGTCCCAGGTACTCTTCCAGCGGACTGTCTTGTTCCAGGCAAAAGGCTCGAGCCGGTCGATTGTTACCCGTTGAGGGAGCATTATAATTCTGTGCGGGGTAGTTATTGTTGAGGGGACAGCTGGCCATCAGGTGCCCCGGCTGCTTGCATTTGTAGCATGTAGGGCGGGAGCGCTCCTGAGGGTAATTGCTGGGTGGTCCCGTATACCGTGTAGGTCCTGCCGGTACAGGTGTGCGAAACTCAGTTCGTGGGGTTGGTCGGTATATCTCTCTGGTTTCAGGGTGCGTTATCGTTCGGGTATTGCCGAACTCCTGTACTTGTGCCTCCCGGTGTTCGTCTGCCAACCTGGCTGCTTCATGTAAATTAGCGGGGCGCCTGTCTTTCAGCCACTCCCGGTCTTTTTGTTCCAGACCCTCGTAAAAATGTTCTAGTAAAAATAGTTCCAATACCTCTGCTGCGGTAACGGCCTGACACCCGGTAATCCAATGGTTAGCAGCTCTCCGCATACGGTGTGCCCATTCGGCATGTGTATCGTACGCCTTTTTCTTCGTGCTGCGGAACTGCCTTCGGTAGGTGTCTGGGGTTTCAGCAGCGTCTCCTTCACTGTGGGGTATTGGGCTACCTCTTCGGCTCTGAGTGTCCTGAAGGCTTCCATGGCCCGCCCGGTTAACTTTCCTGCCAAAATACGTGACCATGCTGAAACGGGAATCTGATGCAAGGCACATCGTCTTTCAAAATCGGCCAAAAATTTGTTTATCCCCATCTCATTCTCCGCGAACGGCTTGAATGCCGCGAACTGAATCTTTGGCTGTTCGGCAGTTTCTGGGGAGCCGTTGTGGCTATTAGCGGCGGCTCCCTGTTGTGCGGCCACCATGTTCAGCTCATGAGTTCTAGCCCGCTGTATGTCCACCTCGGCTTCTGCCATTAGTTGCTGTACCAACTCCACGGATGGGTTCGGCCCGTATAGAGGCAGCCTTTCTCGGACAATCCTTGTCTTCTCATCGCTGAATGTTGCCGTCGGTGCTGCCATCGTGAAACTTTGATCCAACTCGTTCAGGTCGGCAATCAATTTTCTCCTTGGCCGGTTACTTGCGTTTCCCCCACGGCTCTCGAGTAAATCCTTTAATGTGGTACGCTTCAGCTTATCGTAGTTGCTCTCCATCCGTCTCATATATCTCTCTCAGGAATTCCAGGATGATCCCGCCGCTGCCACCAATTGTTACGATTGCCCCCGGTCTAGCAAGAGGGTTGATCGCTTGGATGTCCTGGTTCCTGCTGCAGAGAGTCGAACGGAGGTCTTTCGGTAGTAAGCTGCAAATGTAGAATATCCCCAAGCATGATATAAGCATCAATCTCCCGGATCCCTACAACATGAGTCGAGGCTGCAAGTTGAGGGTCAAAAACGAACAGGCTTTACTGGCACATAGCATAGCAATTTATGTGATTCCTCAGGCCCTAGGACAGCCCCCTGTGGACCTGATGGAATACAGGTACAGTACAGACAAATATCCAATCACAACACAGTGTATTATTTGAATTAGTACCCGCCCAGCTTGGAGATAATGAGGCCAACGGTTTTACAATCTAATTATCTCCAAGCGCACAAAAGACCATGTTTTATTATGTCCCAGAAAACTGCATGAAAATCTATAACTTTTACATTAATACAGAGAAACCACTCATTCTACCACTCATCTAAAGGCTCGCGTTCATATGCATTAAACAGGCGAATGGCGCTCCAATCCCACGAACAGAACGGACGGTGGCTGCCGTATAATGTCCGTTCGGCATTTTGGATGGTTAGTCTCTGTTGGCGGCCATGTTTTCTGATGGTTTAGCGGGCAGCGGGACCTCGCTTCTAACTCGTGGAACTAAACTCGGGTATCAGTTCATGCGAAGTCCCGCTGTCTGTCTGGTAGTGGGACTCGTTCGGTACGTGAACGAGGACCACCTGGTAGAAGGGTACTTGACCTGCGGTTAACCGCAGAAACCACAAGTTAATGATCGCCACGCGGCCCGCTGTAGGGGGTCGTCGTTCAGTTGTTAGTTCGGTAGATCCCGTTCGGTATTTTCGATGCGAACGTCGATGCCCCCAGGCCTATCAATTAAGTTGTGGTTAACCGCAATCCGCAGCCGCCTGGATGGTTAATGGCTGCCACACGCCGCTGGCCGGGTGGTCGACCGTTCGGTAGTTTGCGGGATGACGTGGTTAAGTGGCAGCACACGCCAAGCTCTGGGGGGTCCCCTGTTCGTGCCACAAATGGAGTCTTTATAATGGTTCGGGTAATCCATTCGTGCTTCTTTCGGTTTAAACTTATACAGGGACAAACAGTATCCATTGGTTAGCAAACAGTAACATAGTTATTTCCAGACTTTTGTAACACTGTGTAAGGGTTATTGGCAGATCCCGTCACCCCATTTGGTCTGTACCAGTTTAAGGTTATGCCATTTGGGATGAAGAATGCTCCGGCTACCTTCCAACGTTTGGTGGATAGGCTCCTCGATGGCTTCCAGGAATTTGCGTGTGCATACCTGGATGACATTGCGGTCTACAGTGAGTCCTGGGAAGAACACTTGGTACACATAGGGGTGGTTCTGGACAAGATTCGGGCCGCTGGCCTGACCTTGAAGCCAGACAAGTGCCATCTAGGCATGGCAGAAGTACAGTACTTGGGTCACAGGGTAGGATGTGGGAGCCAGAGACCAGAGCCAGCCAAGGTAGAAGCTGTAGCTAACTGGCCCACACCTATCACCAAGACCCAAGTGCTGGCCTTCCTGGGAACAGCAGGGTATTACCAACGCTTTGTCCCCGACTACAGCACCGTTGCTAAACCCCTGACTTACCCGACCAAGAAGAATTTACCTAAGCAGGTCCTGTGGTCTCCAGCTTGTGAAGCCGCGTTTCAGGCACTGAAGCAAGCTCTTCTGAATGCCCCTGTCCTGGCTGCCCCAGTCCCTAACAAACATTTTCTTCTTCATACAGATGCTTCCAAATATGGACTGGGGGCTGTGCTGAGCCAGGTCGGGGAAGATGGAGGAGAGCACCCTGTCGCATATCTCAGCAGAAAGCTACTACCCCGGGAAGTGAGTTATGCGGCAGTGGAGAAGGAGTGTTTAGCCCTGGTCTGGGCATTAAAGAAATTGAGCCCATATTTGTACGGGCAGGAGTTCTCCCTTATCACAGGCCACAATCCCCTTGTCTGGCTTAACCGGCTCTCAGGAGACAATGGTAGACTGCTGAGGTGGAGTTTGGCGCTGCAACCTTACAACTTCACCATCAGCTACCGACCCGGTAAGCAGAATGGGAATGCAGATGGATTGAACCAGCAAACAGACGTCCCTATTACCTCCTAGTCCGGTCTTCCCCAAGTTGACCCGCCACAGGGTCAAGCCGGGTCTGCCGGAGTGTTCCACAAGGGGGGAGCCGTGTGACAGATCCATCTGTATAGACTAAGATTGCTGGATTCGTCTGTTTTGCCTTTTCACGGAATTACCCGTTCGTATGCCCCTGTTCCGTGAATTGACTTTTCCGCTGAACAAAACTAACGAACGGACGGCCACCCAGAAGAGAAGTGTGCTGCTGGTTAACCTATTGATCCAAATTAGAACCTTGCGGTTAACCACAGACACTTCTCAATTAAAACCGAATACAGGGTGGTCGTCGTTCATATGTCGACCACGAGGCGGCGGCCATTTTAAACCATGTGAAAGACCAGCGGTGTTCGGCATTGATTTCATGGAACTGAAAACGGACACTTGTTCAGCCGAACACCGCTGAAGCCGCCGACCTCCCTTCTCAATCGACAGAAGTGTGGGAACACCGGCCGTTCGGGAGGTTTAAATGCACGAATGGACTTACCCCAGATAGCCTTCCCATGGAGTCAATCGCATACCGAAGAACTGTAATAGACTTTGACTCCATGGCGATTGAACTATGCATATGGGATCTGAGTGCTATTCGCCAATAATATGCACTCAGATCCAGGCTATCTGGGGATATGTGATACGAAAGGGTAGCATTCGACAAATGTAAAGATATATATTTTTATGTGTTTTTCTGTGTTGAATTTAAAATGGCGATTTGCCTCTGTCCTGGAGATAATTGAATTACTTCTCAATTATCTCCAGGGCAGAGGGGAGGAAATACTAATGCATGCTGGGAATATTTTATGTCTGTGGGTCCTGAACTGCCATATGTCTGTCTATTGTCACAGTCTCCCATTTGGTCCCATAGGGGAGTGTCCACCAAGTGGGAGACCTGCATAAATACGGGCAGGTAGCCCACAGTAAAGCCAGTTCTTGTTTTACCCTCAATGAGGAGCTTGGTCTCGTTATTGGGGGGATTTATTACCGACGACTAGAGACTGCTGGATGGGATTATTAGCCGCTTGGGAGATACCTGCGTTCGGCTAATATTGGCGATTCGTGAGTTTGGAGCTCGTGGAGTGAAGTGCCCGTACGGATCCCGTTCGTGAGTTTACAGCGTTCCCTTGCTTGCGGTTCGCATGACTATACTGGATACGCATGCAGCCTATGTTATTGTGAAAGGGTAGCATTCACTAAACGGCGGTTTCTACATTTCATGCTGAGGGTACCGTAACAGGAAGTAATCCAATTATCTCCAAGGACAGAGGCAAAACTCCATTAAGCACATGGCAGTAAAAAGACAGTAAAATACAATAAAATGCACAAGGTTATATTTATTACATAAAATACAGACATGCAACATATCCCCAGATAGCTTAGGTCTGAGCGCACATTTTTACTGAATGGCGCCCAGACCACACACATACAGTTCAATTGCCATGGAGCCAAAGTCTTTTATTACACGAATAGGCTCCATGGCATAGCTATCTGGGTTAAATTAGTTCATTCAGTAAATCCAAGAATCTACCGAACGCCAGGGCAGAAATACAGGAATAGACCTTTCTGCACAGGAAAATAAAGTATTTAAATTCCGGTCCATAGTCAAAAGGCAGCAGGCAGGCAACCAGGCTCCTCCACTGCACAGTGGCGAGATTGGTCTCGTCACAGGAGCCATCTCGAAATGTACTCCCACCTGGTTCAAAAACCAGGACGGATCCCCGGAGTAACGGGGAGGAGGGGTTAGACGAATGGATGGAGTAGCATGAGGCGTGGATGGTAAAGACACAGCACCTTATGTACTGTTCTCATCCACCTCCTGCTGGAGACAAGCTGTTCTAGTTAGGATATGTTTGCAAGGCTTGAGCAAACTGATTCATCCTACGATCTAAACCCTCCATTCTATTTTCACAAGCAGCCATTTGTTGCCCCAAGTTTGCAGGGTCCATGGCCCTGTCG